TAAACCTTATAATAAGTGCCTGCCTCTGCATGGTCCCCTGGGATGGTCAGTGATGGATCTTAACCGTGACAAAGGCCCATAACAACAGGAAACAAAAAAGGGGCATAAATGACCTTTCTTGTCCAGAAAATGGGAGGGGCCCAAAGAAGAATCTACATCCAATCAGAAAATGGCAGGGGCCCAAAGAAGAATCTACATCCAATCAGAAAGGCCTGCGGCAGTTAGGGACCCCCTACTTAACAAATTAAAGCAAAGATGCATTCCTGCAGAGGGAAGGGACTAGAGACCCTAGTCTCTAGGGCTCAGTAAAGAAGCCCGGGGTGAAGGAAAATCCCCGCTCTGCTAGGTTGGCAGGGCCTGCCGATTATTTTTTTCTACTTCCTTTCATTTTCAAATAAACTTACTCAGTCTAGACTCTTATCTGGCCAAGAAAAGGACCACTACCCTAGGAGATAAAGGGAAGAGCTAGTCCTCAGATTCCCCCTGGAGACCCCTAGCAGGGTGGGTGAGGAGTCAGGCCTGGGTCCCCGAGCTCTAGGCTGACGAACTGGCACCAAACTCTATGAATTACTCTTTACTTGTTGGCGTTCTCCTGAACCAAGAAGCCATTGCTCAAGAACATTTGGAAAAGCACTTCCTGCTGCCCCCTTTTGCCAGGACAGGCTGACCCCACACAGAAAGATGGCAATTTCCTTTCCTCTAGAGCTAACTCATAGAACCCCTCTCCTGGAAGAGTGAGGGGCAGAGCAGAGGCAGCGCAGAGGGAATTCTAAATTCACAGTGAGGAGCACCTTGCCCTTACTTGCACCTAGCCACATGGAACTCGGGTACACCACAATAAACTATTGTAAGATGACATTATGTGTCAGTTATGGACAAACAAAATGAAGCCCTTTCTACCAACATTCCCACAGTCCAGGGTCTAGAACAGGAGGACACACTTTTACCAACTCGCAAATGAGTGTGAGTTGAGGCACCGGATGGTTAGAGTCAGGAAGCTTCCAGCAATGTGAGATGGCTCAACATGGTAAACTGAGGCAGTGGGATGAGCCTAGGAATGGAGCTGTGAGGCTGTAAAGGAAGCAAAGGGCCAAAGAGCCCTGGGTCTCACTGGACCTTAACAAGGAAGAAGCTTCCATCCTTCGAGTGAGGTGCTGATTCCACCTTAAGAAGAACACTCTGAGCTCCCCGCGGGACCCTCCTTGTCCTCCAGCCTGTGGTCCAGGGAACTGACCCCTAGTTGCAGGCCCGGTTCCAGGCCACTGGCTGAACCAGTTAGTGAACCCATTTCTATTATCTAGGAGTACCTGAGGTTCGTAGAGCCAATGAGGCTGACTGCCTGCCTGGGAAGGAAGTGCCTCTGGGATCCACAGGAGTTACCGTTCGCTCTTCCCCTCCCCCACGTGACAGGTTTGTAGGGGGAGAGATCTATACTCAACCACATGCTCACCACCAGGAGACTCTTCTGAGATGATACAGAGAGTCTGCTCCTGACGTCCGCCACCCGGCTCCTGAAAACAGGCCTGAGCCAGGAACAGGCTCTGGGCAGCATATGTCTGGTACACTGAGGAAAGGCAGAGTGGTGTGTCAGGCTAGGGTCATGCTGCTGCTCCCTTCCTTCTCGTAAGTACCCAGGAGACCTTGGGGTGACAAGGAGGCAGCATGTAGCAGTTAGCAAACGCAGGGAGCCCCCAAAATGAACCTAGAGCGCATCCTGCGGGACCAGTGTTTGTGAGAACACTCACTCCTCTAAAGCAATCCATCCCCTGCTCTTTTTTCCTCCTGCAGTTGTAAGTTCAAACTCAAGTAAATTGAGGAGGAAGCTGGCCTGTGGTGGGCACAGGATGGGCTTCAGCACGCACCCTTCCCTGTGAACTTCCTTCCCGTGCACAGCTGAGCTTGGTGAGGCTCCTCAGGGCAAAAACAGAGCTGGCCTTTAAGGTAGGGATGAGGATGCCCAGCTCCAAAGCTCACAGCTGCCTCTCCAGAGCTACTTCTTCTCTGGGATCACTTCCTTTGGAATTGGACTATAATTCTAAGTTAGTCTTGGTGTGTGTGTATGTGTATGCATGTGTGTATATGCATGTGTGTATATGCATGTGTGTATATGTGTATGCATGTGTGTATGTGTGCGTGTGTACACACAATGGGGCTTCTACTCAGGGACTGGAAGTCTGGGCATTGTTCCTGAGCTTTTTTGCTCAAGCCTAGTTAGTGCTGTACCACTTGAGCCACAGCTCCACTTCCAAATTTTTGGTGGTTAATTGAGATAAGAGTCTCATGGACTTTCCTGCCCAGGCTGGCTTTTTATTTATTTATTTATTTATTTGCCAATCCTGGGGACTTGAACTTGGGGCCTGGGCACTGTCCCTGAGCTTCTTTTGCTCAAGGTTGGCACTCTTCCACTTGAGCCACAGCACCAGCCTTTTCTGTGTATATGATACTGAGGAATTGAGCCCAGGACCTCATGCATGCTAGGCAAGCACTCTACCACTGAGCCACATTCCCAGCCCAAGGCTGGCTTCCTCTTTCAGTCTGACTCAACGTTTTCCCTTTCATCTGTCCTACCAAAGGTCTCTGGTTTCTCCACTGCCTGAGCACAATGGGGTGATCTGAGGACCCCGTAAGAGAGGGACCCTTGGCAGAAGGTATCTTGGCATTTGCACACACTGCTCCATCAGCCAACAAACAGGAGCTTCACACCACAGTGAGCTACTGAAAGAGGAACGACATTGGACATTTAAACTGTTAACACCAGCTGTGGAAACAAATTGCCTGTACTGCTCCTCTGCACTTGGATGGAGGCTTCCGTGAGAATGCAGTGCTCGTTGTCTCCTTTGGTATTCCCTGACCTGAATGCAGCTTTTGGATTAGTAAGGGTTGCTTATTTATTTAGACAATTCTCTAGAAGCAACCAAAAAAAAAACCCAAAACAAAAAACCAACCAAATGAAAGCCTGGAAACAAAGGCAGGAAGATTGGGATGTTTTAGGAAGAAAACACACAAGGCCCTGGCAGCTGGCAGGTGTCTGGAGACATGGCAAATGTGCAGGAAAGAGGGAGTGCTACCCAGCCAGGGAATCTGGAAAGGTCCCTTCAGGCCTGGAGAAGGGGGTTCCACAGAAAGCAGATTATTTATTGCATCTCTGTTCACCTTCCTAAGCTTCCTCTCGTGAAGCTAGAAGCCCCACTCACTGTGCTAACTGACTACAGCTTTCCCTCCGGCCGTTCTCCATCTCGGGGAAAGTGTCCAGCCCTGCAGGCTTTAATGAGGTGCATTTCTTGGATGTCAGCTCCAACAGCGAGATGGATTTACTTCAGAGTTCAATCCCTGAGGCTTTATTGATTAGCTATTATCAGCTCTGCACTCAGCTAGGTCTTGGAGGGGAAATGGAGAATGAGCCAGAAAGTCTTCTTCCCTTCAGAAAGTCAGAACCCAGCATCCACCGGAAATGAAATGATGTGGACTTCAATTAAGCCTGGAAGGTCTGGGTTCCTTCTCTATGAAACAGATGATGAAGGTGCTGAGCTCTGAGCCCATATTCCCAGGCTGAGATGCAGCCTAAGTGAAATCGAGCCTGCCCAGGAAGGAGCGCGGGTGAGGAAGGTATGGAGGCAGGTGGTGGGAGACAGACAGATCTCACGGCCACAGATCTCACAGGCAGCTCCGCTCCTGAGCATGTACAACCACAGTCAAACTCAGAGCCAAGGGTGTGTTATTTACAACTTGTATGAAGATTTTTTCCCTATTCTGTACTTTTTAAAATTACACCTGTGTTATTTTATCCATTTTCAAACTGATTGAAATGTGACAAAAAAGATTGTATATTTAAGGTGTACAATTTAGTCATTTGTTTTTTTGTTTTCTGTGTTGTTTCATTGCTTTTTTTTTAATGGGGGAGTGGCTCTTGTGATATATCTCAGGCTGGCCTGGAACTTGTGATTTTGCTGACTCAGCACTTAACTTTTGTTTGAGTGTGTGTGTGTGTGTCTCTCTCTCTCTATTTCTCTCTCTCTCTCCTCTCCCCCACCCCCCATAACTGAAAGCTTCTAACCTGCCACTGACATCTCTGAAAAGCCCTAGTAACCCAGTCCTGGCCAAACTGTTCATGAGTTGACTTCTTTGATTCTAAAATCAAGAAACATTAAGTATTTTCGGACACAAATCCTGAACCTTAACTTGTTGAGCGAGAAATTTCCATATGCATAAAGAATTAATTGTTTGAAGACGGTGGTAGCTTTCACCTGTACTCCTAGCTACTCAGAGGCTGATGGGAAAATGGTAGTTCAAGGCTAGTCTGAAAAAAAAAAAAGAGAGTCTCCCCTAGCAAGGGTGATGGAGTGAATCTGTCATCTTCAATAAGAAACCATAATCTAGGAGGACTGAGCTCCCAGTATGGGCCAGGGCAAACCATGATGATACCCTACCTTAAAATAACCAGTGCAAAACAGGCTGGAGGTATGGTTCACTGGTGGAGTGGCAGCCTGACCAGCACAAGGCCTGAGTTCAAACCACAGCACCGAACACAAAACAAAACAGACAAAACAAAAATCATTCAGTCCCTAGGGGCCCTAGGTTCCCTCACAAGGGCTTCAGGGACTTCAAGTCACACACATTCCAGTTTGGCACTCACAAGTGAACCACAACGCCAGTCTCAGACACGATTATTAAATGAAGTGTGAAACAAGATGCCCTGTCAAGCTTTCTAAAGCAAGACGCCAGCTCCTAGCATCCTGTGCACACAATGGCTTCTGCAGCCCGAGCCGCCTTCATGGAAACGTACTGTGGTCATCTGCCTGACACAGTTCCTCCAGCAACCACCTCCTCAGAGCCCCAAAGGAGACCGAAACAAAGGTGTGTCATCCTAATACTCAGTGCCAGGCTCTGCTTAAACCATAGCCGGGAGTGGAGAGCCAGGAGCGTGCGCTGAAACGGCTGACCCCGTGTGTGACCCAGGACCCTCTGAACCGGCTGATCCCCTGCGCGACCCCAAGACCCACCAGGGTACAGAAGATGCACTGGCACTGGGCCAGGGTGGTCATCTGCTCCACCGGATACTCCCCGAGGCACAGCTTGCAGGACACCAGCGGGTCGAGGGCCAGGTCCCAGGTGGGCCGGTACCTTGCTGTGGTCATTGCAGAGCAGCCTGGAATGAGACACGCACACGGTCAGACCTCCCTCCGATGGCCTCCGAGACAGACGGCAGCCCCTCCCCGGCGGTGGAGGGGCCCAGGCTGCTGTTGGCGGGGAGGGGGTGTTGGACACTACTCACTGGGGTCCCCTCAGAGGTTTAGCCAGGGGACTGTGGGCAGGCTTTCTTGTTTTTCACTATTCTGGTGACTTTTCCCGTCCTCCCCCTTGCCTATCCCTTCAGTATATGCAATTAATAATTACTGATGCCGTCTGTCAAGCCCCGGCAACCTCAGCACAGAACCTGTGTTCCAATACTGACTGCTATTTGGTGGGCCGTTCCAGGCCCCCCCCCCCGTCAGTGAGGCTGGTCCACAGCCCTCTGTCCCCGCACATCCCTTCCTTCCCCACTGGCTGCCCTTCACTAGCCTGGGCTTCCAGAAACAGCTCCCTCCAAAGGAAGACTGCTGCTGCTTCTCTCCTTTCCTCCCGCCTCCTCCCACCAGTTCTCTAATTTAAACTCATGCCTTGTGCTTCTGAAAGGCAACTGCTCTACTCCTTGAGCCACAGCCCCAATCTTCTGTGCTCTGGTTTTCAGCTAGGGTCACACTTTGTTTTCGTCCAGGGTCAGCCTATGACTGTGCTCATCAGTCTGCCTCCCACATAGCAGGGATGACAAGCGGGCAACACCACACCTAGCTTGTTGTTTGAGATGGGGTCTTGTGAACTATTTTTACCCAAGCTGAATTAGAACGTTAATCCTTCCATCACTTCTCCTTGCCCCTTCCCCACTCCTATCTGCATCTAGATTTAAGATTTTCTAGAATATCAAACCCCAGGACGGCATAGGTATGGGGTAGATAGGTTCACTTCTCAGATCCAGGATGCGTAGAGGATACCTGAAAAATAGATCCTCACCCCTTTATCTACCCAGGACTTCTCCAGTCATATTCTGAAGCACCAGCAGCATCCAGTGCAGTTACCTATTGCCTAGTGCTTACATGCTATTACCAGAGCTTGCTAAAGGCTGTCTTTCCTGAACCATGCAGTCAGTAAGCCTGGAGGGGTAAGGAAAGACAGACGGAGAAGACACATGTCCAGCCCACAGTCAGCACCTGACCATCCGGTGTTCCAGTCATTCCCAGGAGACTGCATGAACAAATCTTTGCACTGGGGATAATTAATATTCATACCTTGAGTCCCGGTCTCTGAGCCTCATATATTTATTTTGTATCTGAAATCAGTAAGTTTGTGTTTCCTCATTCCAGGAGCCCCTTCTGTCCAAACTCATGCTTCCCAAACTCTGGACACTGAGTAAGATTCAGTTAAACTTTCCTATGGACTTTCTGGCCCTGCTATCCAAATCTTAGGCCTGTTCCTTAGCTAAACTCCCTCTCTCTCTGGGCAGAGCAATGAAACAGATTCAGATGGCAAAAATATTCACATTCCATGCTGGGGTATGAGGTCACAAGACACAATACAAAGAAGATTTGTCTCATCTAGCCTTGTGTATGGAGCAGAGGGCAATGCGCTCAATGACAAGGACCACATGCAGAGGAAAGGGAACGGAAACGCTGACATCCAACTGCAGCCACCAACACAAGGAGCCCTGGGGTCTTGGAGACTCAAAGAGGAACCCAGGAATTTCTCACCCACAGATCTTCAGATGCAATTCAGGGTAAGAAGTTAGCCAATAATACAAGGCAGTACAGGATTGCATGCTGAATCAGTGCTAAAGATACTTGGTAAAGAAGACAACGTCGAGGTCAATGAGGCCTGGGTTTTGGGGGAGGTTGCCTTGGGAAGAGGAAGTAGCTATCAAATCAGGAGGAAGTAATATCTAATAGCTTTCACTAGACCCAAGGAGCTGAGCACCATGCCAGTTGAAAAATGTGGTCAGACATTTGCACACAATCTCTGTCTACGGCCAGCACACACAGCAGCTTAACCACTGCTGGACTCAGTTTATTCACCCAAGATCAGACACCAAGGTGGACTAGCTCATCTTCTGGAGATGGTGTGGAGCTCAAGAAGTCCTGCTCCCTAGTAAATAGTCAATAAAACCCCCACAATGTCCAGCTAGCTTTATCACTTTGTAAGAAAAGACCCTAGGAGGCTGCAGAGTTCCAAAACCAGGTATGAGATCTCGCTGTCATTTAGGTTAGCTACTCCAAAAACAGGAAAAGCTTGACATGCCTTCTCAAATTCTATCAACCAACACGCCCTGGGTATCACTGAGCCCAAGTCTTTACTTAGGGCAAAATGCCCATAAGTTCTTGCCTGGGGCACTCAGTGGGAAGGGAGGAACCTGCTGGACCTGAAAAAACCCCCAGTGAACAGATAAGACACAGTGGCCCAGGACAGAGGAGCAGGAGGGCAGACGCGTGAGAGGCAGGAGAGAGAGGACAGGGCTGGAAGTGGAGCAGCAGCTGTGAGGGTGGACTGGCCTCTGCACACTCTCAGAACGGAGAGGGACCTGATCTGCAGGAGGCCCCATCTCCACTGCTGTAGGACGATGGCAGAAATCCAAACGCCTCCAGGGTGGAACCTCAAGATAAGTAAACAAGCATCCTAACCTGACTAAAGCAAGGAGACATCTCAGAGGCTCAGCTGTCTGGGGTACAGGAGGCCATCAGCTCTGACCCCAAAGTGACGTTCATGTCAAACACTTCTCTGAACCTACTACAGCACTATTACTAAGAATATTATTATTTAAAGTGCCCTCAAGGATTTTCTTGGTCCTGTGTACATAGAATACTTTCTCTCTCTCTCCCTCTCTCCCTCTTTCCCTCTCTCTTTCTCTCTCTCACACACACACACATTTTTCCCATTTTAATTCCCCTATAATTCTTTCTCCAAGTATCATCTGTGAAAGTCCACTGTAAAAAGTTTGTTGAGAATGTTCACGTGTCCTAAGAGGGCTGATAACCTTCATTGAAAGTTCCAAGGCCCTGGGCAGGCTTGGAGAACACTCAAGGTTGGAAGTATCCCTGGGCTGTGGCTGCTTACTGGCCTCTCTGCGCTGGAGGTGGGGAGGGGCAGGCTGAGGCTGTCAGTGCTGGGCAGGCACAGGGTCCCGTACTTGGAGTCCTGTGGTATTGCTTTCAGGAGAGAGGAGACGGGCAGACTTGGGTTCAAGCTCTTTCTGCCACATGGTAATGGGATTTTAGAGAATTTCTTAACCACTTAGTTTTTTTCCCCTCTGTCAAAACCTACATAGAATCACCACAGGTGTGGACTTGTAGAGAGTGAGAGAAAAATAACATATTTAACATTTCTGGGCATCTTATCAGCTTGGGAAGTTGGGAGATAGGAGAGAATGAGGGAAGGGGTGACACTGGTCAAGAAGCACTGTATTCATAGATGGCTGTGTTAAACCCATGTATATGATTACCTAAAGGCAATAATAAAATAAAGAACGAGAATGAGCTGTAGATTAAATCCAGAAGAAGAGCTGCACTGAAGGGGACTGACACGATACATTTGTCTTTTTGAAACCAATGGCTAAGATCCTTGGAGAACCATACCTCGGAGTCCCGGAAGCCTCAGGTGGATGAGTCTGGGCCCACCCCTGCAGGACATCAGCCCAGAAGTCACTCAAAGTGGACCGCACAGTGGCAGAAGCCCCTCTGGGGGGATGGGGATGGGGGGAGATGGGGACACTAGCTCCTCCAGGGTCTTCAGGCCCCCCTCAACCTAGAGGCCTCTGGAGAGCCTGGGAAATCCCAGGAGCAATTTCCCACCTCATGAATGCCTTACCCTCTAGCCCAGCCCACTGCCCTTTCCGCCTTGCTTGTTCCCAATCCCCTGTCCCCCAAAGCTCAAAGCCAGGCTCCTCTTGCTGTTTACAGCTTCTCAGAGTGACCCTGGCAACTGGGAGGCCCGGACCTGTCTGGCTTCCTTTCTTTCTGGAATGTAATTTCCACTTGAGCCCCAAGGGGGCTCCCCCCTTCCCTAGGCTCAAGTGCGCCCCTGGCCTGGCCAGGGCTCTGGCACACCCCCACACCTGCACCTGAGGCAGGCCACCTCCCCATTTCGGGGGTTACATCTGTCTTGATTCCCATCTGGTGTCTGACAGTTTTCTATGCTCTGCTCAAAGCCAAGCTTCAGTCGGCAACAATGATGCAGGCAAACAAGGACGTATTGTGCAGGCATATCACAGAACGTCCCTACACACTGCAGGACCTTCAGACACGACACAGCTGCACCCTTGTGAGAGGAATTTGCTAACAGAATCACAGCACCCAGGAAAAGAAAAGAAAACATTCTACATTTTCCTACTGTGAATGTCAAGTCATAAAAAAACAACAAACTATTTTAAGAACATCTGGCCAATTACAAGATTATTCAATTTAAGCAATTTGGAATGTCTAGAAGCCAAGTCACTTTTGAAGCACGGTGGTATGCAGAGAGCTGTATGTGCACTGTGACACGAGACCTGTGCACACGAGAACAAGAGAGAGCTGGAGGAGCTGGCGCCGGTGCCCGGTGCCTGCTCAAGAGGCTGAGAGATGAGGCCTGTGGTTTGAAGCCGGCCTGGCCATCCACATCGGTGAGACTTTTATCTCTAATTAACCACCAAAAGCTGGAAGTGCAGGTATGGCTCAAATGGTAGAGTGCCAGAAAAGCTAAGGGACAGCACTCATGCACTGAGTTCAATGGCACAAGAAAAGGAAGGAAGGAAGGAAGGAAGGAAGGAAGGAAGGAAGGAAGGAAGGAAGGAAGGAAGGAAGGAAGGAAGGAAAGAAGGTAGAAAGGAAAGAAGGGAAGAAGAGAGGAAGGGAGGGAGGGAAGGAGGGCAAGCTGGAGGAGACAATGCCCTCTCCTTGTAACAGCATAGCACTCGGTCAGTGTAACATGGGTGAGGTCTTTCCACTCTCTCCCCCTTAAAACAAAGCTGGAAAGGAAGTCATCCCCAGCCCCACTCCTTGCTCATTCCACTTCCTCCCATTCTTGCTTGTCCTTCTCCTTGCACACCACTTTCCCAGCCCTCCTGGCCCCCAGGCCAGCATCTGT